CATCTAGGTTGGTTCCACAGTCTAGCTATTGTGAATTGTGCTGCTATGATCATTGATGTGGCAGTATCCCTATAGTACGCTCTTTTAAGATCCTCAGGGAATAGTCCGAGAAGGGTTATAGCTGGATCAAATGGTGGATCCATTCCCAGCTTTCCCAGGAATCTCCATACTGCTTTCCAAATTGGCCTCACCAATTTGCAGTCCTACCAGCAGTGTACAAGTGTACCCTTTTCCCCACATCCTCGCCAGCACTTATTGTTGTTTGACTTCATAATGGCTGCCAATCTTACTGGAGTAAGATGGTATCTTAGGGTGGTTTTGATTTGCATTTCTCTGACTGCTAGAGATGGTGAGCATTTTTTCATGTACTTGTTGATTGATTGTATGTCCTCCTCTGAGAAGTGTCTGTTCAGGTCCTTGGCCCATTTGTTGATTGGGTTATTTTTTATCTTATTGTTTAATTTTTTGAGTTCTTTGTATATTCTGGATATTAGGGCTCTATCTGAAGTGTGAGGGGTAAAAATTTGTTCCCAGGATGTAGGCTATCTATTTACCTCTCTTATTGTTTCTCTTGCTGAGAAAAAACTTTTTAGTTTAAGTAAGTCCCATTTGTTTATTCTTGTTATTAACTCTTGGGCTATGGGCGTCCTATTAAGGAATTTGGAGCCCGACCCCACAATATGTAGATCAGAGCCAACTTTTACTTCTATCAGGCGCAGAGTCTCTGATTTGATATCAAGCTCTTTGATCCATTTTGAGTTAACTTCTGTGCATGGCGAGAGAAAGGGGTTCAGCTTCATTTTGTTGCATATGGATTTCCAGTTTTCCCAGCACCATTTGTTGAAGATGCTATCCTTCCTCCATTGCATGCTTTTAGCCCCTTTATCAGTACCATACTGTTTTTGTTACTATTGCTCTGTAGTACAGTTTGAAATCTGGTATCGCTATACCTCCAGATTCACACTTCCTGCTTAGAATTGCTTTTGCTATTCTGGGTCTTTTGTTTTTCCATATGAATTTCATGATTGCTTTATCTACTTCTACAAGAAATGCTGTTGGGATTTTGATTGGCATCGCATTAAACCTGTAGAGAACTTTGGGTAATATCGCCATTTTGATGATGTTAGTTCTGCTTATCCATGAACAGGGTACATTTTTCCATCTTCTAAGATCTTCTTCTATCTCTCTCTTTAGGGTTCTGTAGTTTTCATTGTATAAATCTTTCACCTCTTTTGTTAGGTTGATTCCCAAGTATCTTATTTTCTTTGAGGATATTGTCAATGGAGTGGTTTTCCTCATTTCCATTTCAGAAGTTTTGTTGCTGATATACAGGAATGCCTTTGATTTATGTGTGTTGATTTTATATCCTGCCACTTTGCTGAATTCATTTATTAACTCTAGCAGTTTCTTTGTAGACCCTTTTGGGTCTGTTAGATATATTATCATATCATCCGCAAATAGTGATAATTTAAGTTCTTCTTTTCCTATTTTTATGCCTTTAATTTCTTTTGTCTGTCTAATTGCTCTGGCTAGTATTTCAAGAACTAAATTGAATAGAAGTGGTGAGAGAGGGCATCCCTGTTTTGTTCCAGATTTTAGAGGGAATGCCTTCAGTTTTTCTCTGTTTAGGATGATGCTAGCCTGAGGTTTAGCATATATAGCTTTTACAATGTTGAGGTAAGTTCCTGTTATCCCCAGTTTTTCTAGTGTTTTGAACATAAAGGGATGCTGTACTTTGTCGAATGCTTTTTCTGCATCTATCGAGATGATCATATGGTTCTTATCTTTAAGTCTATTGATGTGGTGTATAGCATTTATTGATTTCCGTATATTGAACCAACCTTGCATCCCAGGGATGAATCCTACTTGATCCTGGTGCACAATTTTTTTGATATGTTTTTGTATTCGATTCGCCAGGATTTTATTGAGAATTTTTGCATCCAAGTTCAATAGAGATATTGGTCTGTAGTTTTCTTTCTTTGAAGTGTCTTTGTCTGGTTTCGGGATCAGGGTGATGTTGGCCTCATAGAATGAATTTGGAAGAGCTCCTTCTTTTTATATTTCTTGAAATAGCTTGAAAAGTATTGGTATTAATTCTTCTTTGAAGGTTTTGTAAAACTCCGCTGTATACCCATCCGGTCCAGGGCTTTTCTTGGTTGGTAGTTTTTTGATGGCTTCTTCTATTTCTTCCTTTGTTATTGGTCTGTTTAAATTGTGTGTGTCTTCCTGACTCAATCTGGGCAGATCGTATGACTTAAGAAATTTATCGATATCTTCACTATCTTCTATTTTATTGGAATATAGGGTTTCAAAATACTTTCTAATTATCTTCTGTATTTCTGTAGTGTCTGTTGTGATATTGCCTTTTTCATCCCGTATGTTAGTAATTTGAGTTCTCTCTCCTCTTCTCTTCGTTAGCATGGCTAAGGGCCTGTCGATCTTATTTATTTTTTCAACCAACTTTTAGTTTTATCAATTTTTTCAATGGTTTTTTTTTGTTTCAATTTCGTTGATTTCTGCTCTGATTTTAATTATTTCTTGTCTTCTACTACATTTGCTGTTGTTTTGCTCTTCCTTTTCTAGGGTTTTGAGGTGTAGTGTGAGTTCATTTATTTGTTGGTTTTTTTCTTTTTTTGAGGAAAGAACTCCAGGAAATGAATTTCCGTCTTAAAACTGCTTTCATTGTGTCCCATAGATTCTGGTATGTTGTGTCTGTATTGTCATTCATCTCTAAGAATTTTTTTATTTCCTCCTTTATGTCTTCTGTAACCCATTGATCATTCAGTAACATATTGTTCATTTTCCAGGTGATGCAGGATTTTTCCTTCCTTCTTTTATCATTGATTTCCAGTTTCATTCCATTATGATCAGATATGGTGCATGGTATTATCTCCACACCTTTATATTTACTAAGAGTTGCCCTATGGCATAATACATGGTCTATCTTTGAGTAGGATCCATGTGCTGCTGAGAAGAACGTGTATCCACTTGATGATGGTTGATATATTCTATATATGTCGGTTAAGTCTAGGTTATTGATTGTGTTATTGAGTTCTATAGTTTCTTTATTCAGCTTTTGTCTGGAGGATCTGTCCAATGGAGAGAGCGGTGTGTTGAAGTCACCCATAATTATTGTGTTATGGTCTATTTGACTCTTGAACTTGAGGAGAGTTTGTTTTATGAACGTTGCAGCACCATTGTTTGGTGCATACAAATTGATAATTGTTATGTCTTGTTGGTGGATGGTTCCTTTTAACAGTATATAGTGTCCTTCTTTATCCCTTTTGATTAACTTAGGTTTGAAGTTGATTTTATTCGATATGAGTATGGCCACTCCTGCTTGCTTCCGAGGGCCATGTGAGTGGTATGATTTTTCCCAACCTTTCACCTTCAGCCTGTGTGTGTCTTTTCCTATCATATGCGTCTCCTGAAGGCAGCATATTGTTGGATTTGTTTTTTTAATCCAGGTTACTAGCCTATGTCTCTTGATTGGTGAATTTAGGCCATTAACATTTAAGGTTACAATTGAAATATGGTTTGTAATTCCAGTCATGTTTATTTAATTATTTATTTTAGTTTGGCTAGTTTTTCCTCTTTGGTTATTTTTCTCCCCCTTTACTGAGATACCTCCCACTGTTAGTTTTGGGCGCTATTTTTCAATTCCTCTTCTTGTAGTATTTTGCTCAAAATGCTTTGCGGTGCTGGTTTTCTGGCTGCGAATTCTTTCAGCTTTTGTTTATCGTGAAATATTTTAATTTCATTGTCAAATCTGAAGCTTAATTTTGCTGGATACAGTATTCTTGGTTGGAATCCATTATTTTTCAGCCTTTGAAATACATTGTTCCAGGATCTTCTGTCTTTCAAAGTCTGTGATGAAAAATCAGTCGTTAACCTAATTGGTTTACCCCTGAATGTAATCTGCCTCCTTTCTCTCATAGCTTTTAATATTCTCTCCTTGTTCTGTATGTTGGCTATCTTCATAATTATATGTCTTGGAGTTGGTCTATTACGGTTTTGAATGTTTGGGGTCCTGTAAGCTTCCAGGATTTGGCAATCCATTCCATCTTTCATCTCTGGGAAGTTTTCTAGAATTATTTCATTTAATAGGTTGTCCATTCCTTTGGTTTGAACCTCTGTACCTTCTTCTATCCCCATGATTCTCAAGTTTGGTTTTTTTATGACATCCCATATCTCTTGAATAGATTGCTCGTGAGATTTAAGCATCCTTTCTGTGTTGACTATATTCTTTTCAAGTTGATAAACTTTGTCTTCATTATCTGATGTTCTGACTTCTACTTGATCTAGTCTATTTGTAATATTCTCATTTGAGTTTTTAATTTGGTTTATAGTTTCCTGCATTTCTAGGATTACTGTTTGATTTTTTTTTTAAATCTCTGTCTCCTGGTAAAGCTCGTTCTTTGCCATTTGAATTTGTTTGTTTAATTCGTTTTCAAAATATACTTTCATTGCTTGGACTTGCTGTCTCATGTCTTCTCTAATATTCTGTTCCCTCTGAGTTAGGTATGCCTTGAGTTCTTTCCCTATCCATGTTTCTGATGCTTCTAGGTCCTCCTGTAGATTTAAGTTGTCCTGCATTGTTTGTAATCCTTTTTTCCCTTGTTTTTTCATGTTGTTCATGTTAGTTTCCAGCTCTGTTTGATTGCTGTGTTTCTGCTCTCTCCTATAAATTTGTTTTGGTTTTGTATATCTCAGTTGTCTCTCCTTTGTGGTGGTAGAGTATGCCTGCTAAAGTGGATTCCGCTGGGAAGGAGTTCCGTCAGCCCAACTCCGGTGACATCACCTCTCTGCTATGGCGGGCCCCAGGCTCCTTGCCGTGGTGTCCAAAGGGAGGGGTGGGACTGGTCTGTCTCTGGTTGGTTTTAGCTCCTGGTTGTCTACTTCATGAAGGCCTGGCTATAGACCTCTTCCTAGAGTCTCTGTGCCGTACCTGCTGGGCCACACCTCGGGGTCTAGCCACCCGGTTGCCGGCGGACGGGCGGTCAGTCTCCAGCTGCCCGGTCTCCAGCCGCCCAGTCGCGGGGGCCGCGGGTGGTCGCCGGCGGGCAGGCGGTCTCTAGCCGCCCAGTTGCGCGGGCAGCGGACTGGCGATCGGTCGCCGGCGGGCGGGTGGTCTTCAGCCGCCCAGTCGCGCGGGCAGCGGGCGGTTGGTCGCCGGCAGGTGGGCGGTCTCCAGCCGCCCAGTCGCGTGGGCAGCGGACGGGCAATTGGTCGCTGGCGGGCGGGCGGTCTCCAGCCGCCCAGTCGTGCGGGGAGCGGGCGGGTGGTCGCCGGCTGGTGGGCGGTCTCTAGCTACCCAGTTGTGCAGGCAGTGGGCGGGTGGTCAGTCGCCGGTGGGCAGGCGGTCTCTAGCCGCCCAGTCGCGAGGGCCTGGCCTCTAGTCCCCTGGCTTCTCCTGCTAGCCCGGCCTTCCCCTGTGTGATGCCTCTCGGCAGTTCAAACTGTTCTCTGGGCCTGCGGTTTGCTGGGTGTGGAGGGTGGCTATTGGGAATCGGCAACCTATTGTTTTGATTTTTACCGCTTGCCCCTCCCCCAGAGCCGGCAAGACAGGTTTCATTTTCTGGATCTCCGGTTGCACAGTTGGCTCGCGTTTAAGATTCAATAACCTGTCCTCGGTGATGGAAATCCTTCCTCTAGGTTTCGGTGCACCCCGATTTTGCTGTAAATTCCTGACAAGATAGCTTTTTGTTGTTCTAACTCGTTATTCACCTGCACAGTGTCGCGGTACATGGGGTGTGATGCACTCTATTCGCGGCCATCTTCTCCCTAAAAAATAAATATTAAAAAATTCTCACCCTCTCTCTCACTCTTTCTTTAAAAAAAACAAAAACAGGATGTTTTGAAATGTTTACATTGTAGAATGGCTGAATTGAACTAATTTACATACACATCATCTCACATACTTATCATTTTATTTGTGGTGAGAACAATTAAAATCTAATCTTTTAGTGATTTTCAAAATATATTTTCATTTACTGTGGACATCATGTTGAACAATAGATCTCTTGAACTTATTCCTCCTACCTAACAGGCGAGATACATATTTTTTTATTTTGGTGCTGGGTATTAGATCCCAGGGCCTTGTGTGTGTAAGGCAAGCACTCTACCAACTGAGCTGTGTCCGCAGCCCCAGAAATATGTATTTTAATTTTTCTCTGAAAAGACTCTCTTTTAAGTAGTAAAATTAATTTTTTAAAAATATTTTTTAGGGACTGGGGTTGTGGCTCAGCAGTAGAGTGCTCGCCTAGCATGTGGGCTCGATCCGCAGCACCACATAAAAATAAATAAATAAAGATATTGTATCCAACTAAAAAATAAATATTTAAAAAAAGAATTAAAAAAATATTTTTTAGGGTCTGGGATTGTGGCTCAGTGGTAGAATGCTCGTCTAGCATGTGCGAGGCCCTGGGTTCGATCCTCATCATCACATAAAAATAAATAAACAAAATAAAGGTACTGTATCCCACTCCTTCTAAAAAATAAATATTAAAAAATATTTTTAGTTGCAGGTGGACACAATATCTTTAATTTATTTATTTTAATTAGGTATATATGATAGCAGAATGCATTTTGATTCACTGTACACAATTGCAGCACAACTTTACATTTCTATGGTGTACACGATGTAGCCTCACACCCTATGTGCAGTCATACATGTAGCTAGGGTAATGATGTCCATCTCATTCCACCATCTTTCCTGCTCCCAGGCACCCTGCCCCTAGGCACCCTCCTTCCTCTCCCTCCCCTTTGCCCAATCAAAATTCTTCCATTTTTCCCATGCCTCCCGCTTCCCGTTATGGACCAGCTTTCACTTATCAGAGAGAACGTTTGGCCTTTGGTTTTTTGGGATTGGCTTCCTTCGCTTAGCATTATATTCTCCAACTCCATCCATTTACCTGCAAATGCCATAATTTTATTCTCTTTTAATGCTGAGTAATATTCCATTGTGTATATATACCACAGTCTCTTTATCCATTTATCTGTTGAAGGGCCTCTAGGTTGCTTCCACAGTTTAGCTCTTGTGAATTCAGCTGCTATGAACATTGATGTGGCTGCCTTACCATATATAGTATGCTGATTTTAAGTCCTTTGGGCATAGACTGAGGAGTGGGATGGCTAGGTCAAATGATGGTTCCATTCTAAGTTTTCTAAGGAATCTCCATACTGCTTTCCATATTGGCTGCACCAATTTGCAGTCCCACCAGCGATGTATGAGTGTGCCTTTTCCCTCACATCCTCGCCAACACTTATTGTTGTTTGTATTCTTAATAGCTGCCATTCTGATTGGAGTAAGATGAAATCTTAGAGTAGTTTTAATTTGCATCTCTCTAATTACTAGAGATGTTGAACATGTTTTTTATATATTTGTTAACTGAGTGTACATCTTCTTCTGAGAAGTGTCTGTTCAGCTCCTTAGCCCATTTATTGATTCGGTTGTTTTTTTTGGTGGTAAGTTTTTTGAGTTCTTTATGTATCCTGGAGATAAGTGCTCTGTCTGATGTGTGTGTGGCAAAAATTTGCTCCCAAGATATGGGCTCTCTGTTCACCTCATTGATTGTTTCTTTTGCTGAGAAGAAGCTTTTTAGTTTGAGTTCATCCCATTTATTAATTCTTGATTTTATTTCTTGTGTTTTAGGAGTCTTGTTAAGGAAATTGGGGCCTAATCTGACATGATGAAGATTTAGGCCTACTTTTTCCTCTGTTAGGTGCAGGGTCTCTGGACTAATTCTTAGGTCCTTGATCCACTTTGAGTTGAGTTTTCTGCATGGTGAGAGATAGGGGTTTATTTTCATTTTGCTGCATATGGATTTCCATTCTCCCAATGCCATTTGTTGAAGAGGCTATCTTTTTTCCACTGTATATTTTTGGCACCTTTGCCTAGAATGAGATAACTGTATTTATGTGGGTTTGTCTCTGTCTTTTATTCTGTACCATTGGACTACATGTCTATTTTGGTGCCAATATCATGCTATTTTAGTTACTATAGCTTTGTAGTATAGTTTAAGGTCTGGTATTGTGGTGCTTTCTGCTTCACTTTTCTTGCTAAGGATTGCTTTGGCTATTCTGAGTCTCTTATTTTTCCAATGAATTTCATGATTTCTTTTTCTATATCTATAAGGAATGACATTGGGATTTTAATTGGAATTGCATTGACTCTGTATAGCACTTTGGGTAGTATGGCCATTTTGACAATATTAATTTTGCCTATCCAAGAGCATAGGAGATCTTTCCATCATCCAAGGTCTTCTTCAATTTCTTTCTTTAGTGTTCTGTATTTTTCATTGTAGAGGTCTTTTACCTCATTTGTTGATTCCCAAGTATTTTATTTTATTTTTTTGAGGCTATTGTGACTGGAGTAGTTTTCCTAATTTCTCTTTCAGAGGATTCATCACTGATATATAGAAATGTATTTGATTTATGGGTATTGATTTTATATCCTGCTACTTTGCTGAATTCATTAATTAATTCTAGAAGTTTTCTGGTAGAGTTTTTTGGATCCTCTAAGTATAGAATCATATCATCAGCAAATAGATAGTTTGAGTTCTTCTTTTCCTATACATAGCCCTTCAATTTCTTTTATGTAATTGCTTTGGCTAGAGTTTCAAGGTCTGCGTTGAATAGAAGTGGTAAAAGAGGGCATCCGTGTCTTGTTCCAGTTTTTAGAGGGAATGCTTCCAGTTTTTCTCCATTTAGAATGATGTTGGCCTTGGGTTTAGCATAGCTTTTACAATGTTGAGGTATGTCTTCTTATCCCTAGTTTATCTGGTGTTTTGAACATGAAAGGGTGCTGTATTTTGTCAAATGCTTTCTCTGCATAAATTGATATAATCATAAGATTCTTATCTATAAGTCTGTTGATAAGATGAATTATATTTATTGATTTCTGTATGTTGCATCAACCTTACATTCCTGGAATGAACTCGAGTTGATCTTGGTGCACTATTTTTTTAAAAAATATGTTTTTGTATGTGTTTTGCCAGAATTTTATTGAGAATTTCTGCATCAATGTTCATCAGGGATATTGGTCTGAAAATTTCTTTCCTTGATGTGTCTCTGCCTGGTTTTGGTATCAGGATGATACCAGCTTCATAGTATCCCCAGCCCTGGCAATATGTATTTTTATTTATCTCTGAAAAGACAGTCTTTTAAATATTAAAATTTATTTTTTAAAAATATTTTTTAATTGCAGATGGACACAATAGCTTCTATTTGTTTGTTTGTTTATTTACTTATATATATTTTATGTGTTGCTGAGGATCGAAGTCAGGACCTCACATGTGTGAGTCAAGTGCTCTACTGCTGAGCTATAATCCCAGCCACAGAATTGATTTTCTATCAGATTAATACAAGTATAATATGTCAAGGTCAGAGTCCTGTAGCATTTTTATAAAAACAGGAGGCCCTGCTCATTTGTCCCTGGTCAGAACATGCTGCAGCATCCCTGCTTTCCTTCACAGTTTGCTGGGGTGCGGAGGGCCATGCAGGGGCTGCCCATGTAACCCCAGCGTCCAGAGCTGCTGCGAGGAGCCTGGTGCAGTCTGCCTCCTCATCCTTTGTACCTGTCTGTTTTCATTTTCCCCAGTTCTGGGAGGTTTGGGGCCCTCTTTTTCGTTTTGAGGTTGCAGATGAGATGCCTGGTGGGTCCTGGGTGTACTGTACAGAATGATTCTGGAAATTCTTCTCCCTCAGTTCTAGAAAATGAATTGGGGAGTCTTTCTGGGGGGTCATTTTTCCTTAGTGTCCACTCTCTTTTCCTTTTTGGAAGTATTCTTGTTTGAATGTTAGACCTCTTGGATTAATCCTCCCATTTTCTGTGTCTTTTCTACTTTCTGGGATATTTCCTCAAGTTGTTGCTTTTTCTTCCCTCTGTTATTATTTTTTCATCTCTCCTATCATATTTTTACTTCTTGAGAGCTCTTTGTTTTCTTTGGATGTTTTCTTATTAATTAGCTTTCTGTTTTTGTCAGATAAGTTCATTATTTTTCTGAACTCTGATTTTATTAAATACATATATTTTTTCCCACTTATTTTATTGGTGCATTGTAGTTGTACACAGTGGTGAGATTTGTTGTTACACATTTGGGCATGCACACGATAGAGCAATATAATTTGGCCAACATGACTCCTCAGCACCCCCCCTCCCTCCCCACTTCCCACCCCATGAACCCTTTCCTCTATTGATCTCCCTTTGATTTTTAGTACATCTACCCCAACTTTGTTTTCCTTTTTCCTCTCTAGCTTCCATATATGAGAGAAAACATATCTTCTGAGTTGAATTATTTTGCTTAACATGATGGTCTCTAGTTCCATCCATTTTCTTGCAAATGCTGTAATTTCATTCTCATTTATGGCTGAATAAAATTCCATTGTGTATATGTACCACACTTTCTTTATCCATTCATCCATTGATGGACACCTAGGCTGGTTCCATAGTTTGGCTATTGTGAATTGTTCTGCTATAAACATGGGTATGTATCACTGTTGTTTGATCACTTTGATTCTTAGGACAAATACCTAGGAGTGGTATAGCTGCATCATATGGTGGTTCCATGTCTAGACTTTTCAGGAATTTCCATACTGATTTCTGTAGTGATTGTAGTAATTTAGTTCCATCAACAATGTCAAAATGTTCCTTTTGTCCAAATCCTTTCCACCATTTATTAATTGTGTTCTTGATTACTGCCATTCTGACTGATGTGAGATGAAATCTCAGTAGAGTTTTGATTTGCATTTCCCTAATTGCTAATATTGTGAACATTTTTTTCATGTATTTGTTGGCCATTTGTATTTCTTCTTTTGGTAAAAGGCATTAGATGCATTTTTTCTGGGGGGGGGGTGAACTGAATAAATTTCCTATGCTAAAAAAAGTCACTCCACCCAACCCCAATATCATTTTCAAATTCAAAGGGGAGACTGATCTTTATAACAGAGATCTATTGATCTATTGATTAACAGAGTAGTCACACCCAGCATCACCCTGGCTGACCCACAACACCTTGCGCCATCTGCTGTGCTGTGAACGTGAAGTACATAGTCTCACCTGCCAGGTGTCCTGCAGTTTCTTTAATAATTTGTTCTTTCAGGAATATTTATTTGAGCACACGCTCGCTGGACATTGGCCCAGCTGACTGTGGGTTTTATGGTTGAGGGGCGAGCTCTGTGTCAGCACCCTATAGTAGAGGTAACAGCTGTCTGCATGAATGTGAACATAGACTGCCAGTCTCAGGCTTCAGAGCAGCCTCCACTGTGGCTTGACGGTGGCCTGTCCTTTGCAGAACTCATGCTGAAATCTGATTGCCATTGTGGTGGTGTGAGAGTGGGGCCCAAGGGGCTATTTAGATTGCTAAGAAGGACAAATGCCTTTCTCTCAGAGTGATCTCTCATTCCTGTGGCACTGGATTAACCACCCCTAGGGCAGGGTTATAAAACGGAGCCACTTCCACCCCATTTTTTCCTTTCTGCATGTGCCTGCTTGCCCGTCTCTTCCTGCCATGAGTTGAAGCAGCAGAGGTCCCAGCTGACTTCATGCTGCTGGACTTCCCAGCCTTTAAAACTTTGAGCCCAAATAAGTCTCCATCCTTTATAAAATACCAAGTCTCCACTATTCTGTTATAGTGACAAGAAATGGACTAAGAGAGTATCTTAAAAGAGTCTGAATTTTGCTTGATACTTAAAGATCTAGCAGGAGCTAAGTAGGAAGAAAGACAGTGAAGGCACTCTGGGAAGAGGGATGGCCTGGAAGACAGTGGGATCCAAGAGCATGTGGCCATTCAGGGGGGTCCTCCTCGGGGTAGGATGCGGAGCTTTTGGTAGAACCTGGGTCTCAGGTGGGTGAAGACCAGAGCCAGGCAAGTGAAGGAGGCAGGAGCAGTCCTACACAGGGCCTTCCACTCCCCAAACTTCTGTTCACACAGCTCAGTGCAGAGTGGTTTGTGTTTTGCAAAGCCTACGACTCAAGCAGTATAGACGTTGTTAGAGAAATACACAGGATATGTGACCGAATTTATACCCTCAGAGCCACGTGCAGTTCACAACTCAGAGCAAGGGCTCAACTCTGAGACTGGAGGCAAAGATTGACAAACCAAGTCAGTAAAACACTCCAGAGCTGTTAAGCACCATTCTTCAAGTTGTTGGTAGGACAGTTTTATTGCAATTTGCCTTTTTAAAAAAACAGGCTGTGTTTTGAGACCTATCCATGCTAATACATGCATATCTATTTCATTCTCTGCTATGATTCATCTTATCCCATTTTCTTTTTTTTCTTTCCGGAAAGTACTTTTAAAAAATTTAATTTATTATATATGTCAGCAGAATGCATTATCATTCATATTAAACATATAGAGCACAATTTTTCCTATCTCTGGTTATACACCCCATTTTTTAAAAATAACTTTTTTCTATTTATTCATTTGTATGGGGGCTGAGGATCGAACTCAGGGCCTCACATGTGCTAGGCAAGCACTCTACCACTGAGCTATAGCCCTAGCCTCGCCCCCCATTTTCTTTTAATATCTTTTTTTTTCCTCTGACAATTTTTAATGGGATAACCTGTGATATTTCTGTTTTTTCAAATCTTTTTTTTTAAGTTGTAAATGGACGCATATATCTTTATTTATTTTTATGTGGTGCTGAAGATTGAACCCAGGGCCTCACACATGCGAGCCAAGTGCTCTACCACTGAGCCCCAGCCCCAGCCCCTGTGATATTTCAGTACATGTATACATCGTGTAATGTTTAAATCAGGCTAAACATATGTGTCATTTCTTTATGGTGAGAACGTTCAAACTCCCTTCTTGGGGCTTTTTGAAATGTGCTGTGTGTTATCACTATCTACAGCCAGCCTCCCGTGAGCAGCACCCCAGGACTTCCTGCTCCTGTCTTGACTGTAACTAAGTTCCCATTGGTCAACCCAGACCATCCCTCCCTCACTCCTCCTTTCCCCAGCATCTGGAAACCATTGTTCTACTCTCAATTTCTATGAGACCTACTTTAAAAAATTTCTCCTGCGTAAGATCACGAGGCATTGACTTTCGGTGCCTGGGCTTATTTCAATTCTCTTCACAGGGAAGAAAGGGGTGGCCAAAGGATAAAACCCAGCCTAGAGGGACCTCAGAGGCTGTCTAGTCCAGATTCTTCTTTCCTCAGAGGAGGATCATGAAGCATAGGGGCGGAGGTGACTTGTCTGTAGATATCCCTCTGATCACAGCGCAGCCTGTGCTGGACTTGCTGCTGTTAGCGTGGCTCAGGGTTACAGGTGTTCACTTGGGAAGGTACTTCAGGTACCCTTGGAAAGGCGGACACTTGGAGATGCTATGGCTTGTCCCAGTGTCATATTGTCATAAACCACACTGTAGAGAAGAATCAGTGAGGGTAAGTCATCTTGCCAGGCCACATGGAGGAACTCCTGACAATTATGCAGAAACACATATCTAGAAAATGATGCAAAGTGTTGTAAGCAGCATTATTGCTTTTGGAAAAATCTCCTTGTCTCCAGCAGGCTGCCCCAGGTCAAGTACCAGGCAAGGCTTCCCAGGAAGCTTTGTAAGCTAGTGTTTGCTCCATAAAGTCTACCTCCATTCTTTAAAATCGTCTGTTCACAGCTGATCAAATGAACACCCTTCTTGATATGCTATTTCAGGCAGAGCCTTGGATGCATAAGCAGGGTTTTGAGTTATGCCCTGGCAAACAGGAAAACAGATTCCTATTAAAGCTATGCAAATAACTGTACTGCCACAAAAAGTAAAATGTATTCCAATTCGACAAGTAGAGTCAATAAAAAATTTTGAATTCCATAGGGTTCGGTAGGGAGAATAAGATGTCATGTGTTTCATTTTGATTTACATATCCAGAAAATTGATCATTAAAATAACACCAGCAATATTCCAAACAAAAACTCCTCTCACTTGTCATCGCTTCATTTAGTCCTGAGTGACTGATTCTTATTCCCCAGGGTCTTGGGGTAGTGGTCTCAGGGGCCCATCTGCTCTTAGTGTGCTGGGCTTGTCATGCTTCCTCTGGTGTGGTCCCACGTTCTTTATGTGATGCCCTCACAAACCTGTATCCAAGGTACCTGCCACCTAATCCTTTCCTTCGGGGCTCTGAGCTGTCGTTCTTCCTGGGAGAGGAAACTTTCGCACCTGTAGCCGATCACAGAACACTTCCAGGGAAGTATCGAAGTAAAACAAGCTAAGGAAAACATCTTAGATGATAAAAGACTTAAAAAGGGTGTGGTTTATTTATTACTGATGATTTTTATTTTTTTAATTTTTATTTATTTATTTATTTTTGTTGGAAAAAAGAAATTATATTTAGAATTAAACAGCTGGACTTTGTTTAGATGATACCAATTTTGTTGGCGACGTCCAATGCATCATAATCAGGAGCCAGTCGAACATATATGCCTTTTTCTCTCCATTAGGCCTGATCAGGGTGTTAACCTTGGCCACATCAATGTCATAGAGCTTCTTTTATTTATTTATTTATTTATTTATTATTATTAGTTGTTCAAAACATTACAAAGCTCTTGACATATCGTATTTTATACATTTGATTCAAGTGGATTATGAACTCCCATTTTTACCCCGTATACAGATTTCAGAATCACATCGGTTACACATCCACTTTTTTACATACTGCCATACTAGTGTCTGTTGTATTCTGCTGCCTTTCCTATCCTCTACTATCCCCCCTCCCCTCCCCTCCCCTCCCATCTTCTCTCTCTACCCCATCTACTGTAATTCATTTCTACCCCTTGTTTTTTTTCCCTTTCCTCTCACTTCCTCTTACATGTAATTTTGTATAACAATGAGGGTCTCCTTCCATTTCCATGCAATTTCCCTTCTCTCTCCCTTTGTCATAGAGCTTCTTTACAGCTTGTTCGATCTGGTGTTTGTTGGCCTTGACATCCACAATAAACCCAAGTGTGTTGTTGTCTTCAATCTTCTTCATGGCTGACTCAGTGGTCAAGGGGAATTTGATGATGGCACAGTGGTCAAGCTTGTTTCCCCTGGGGGCGCTCTTCCGAGGATATTTGGGCTGCCTCCGGAGCCGCAATGTCTTGGGTCGCCGGAAGGTAGGTGACGTGCGGATCTTCTTCTTTTTATGACTGTGGACACCCTTCAACACTGCTTTCTTGGCTTTCAAAGGTTTTGCTTTGGCTTCAGCTTTAGGAGGGGCAGGAGCTTCCTTCTTAGCTTTCGGTGCCATCTTGGTGAAAAGGCTATTACTGATGGTTTTTAAAAGGAAAAGACTTTAGAGTTAGAAAAGAATAATGCTCTAGATGAGAAAATTTTGTTGTCTCTGTGGCATGTAAAACAAAACAACGATGTCAATCCAAAAAAGTTTTAGAAAAATGAGTTATGAACCTAATCATTGATCCTATTTTCAAAGAACACACAAACACTGTATCTAGTTTCTTAAGAATGAATGAACTCAAAGGAAATATCAAATTACTCAGAGACATAATGAGTCACAAAGATACCAAGCATTTGGAAGGAATAGGTTGTAATGAGATGCAGTGTGGCTGGAGCAGGCTCTGAATGTCTGTGTATTAAAAAATAAAAGTAGGTAATGGGCTCCCCAAATGAAAAGCACCGTCCTGAGATATGCTAGATTCAAATTAAAGAAGAAGACCTGTGACCTGGTTAACATTTAAAATGAGTAACTATGACTGATAATTGTACCACGGGTGTCTGATATTAGGAGAGCGGTGCTGGGAGGGGTGTCTTCCTGTGTTATTTTACCAGGGGAACATTGTCAAGATGGCAGTGGAAAGCATCCAGGTCTGTGTGTAATTAGATTCCCCTCGCTGGCAGAGATAAGCAGTCATAGCAATGTTGAAGCATGGCATTTACAGGATGCTGGTGGGGTGACGGCTCAGTCTCAGCATTTTTATGTTCCAGCAAGTGCTGTCCCCATGGAGCCACCTCACGAAGCCCTAATAATGTTCCCAACAGCTGAACCATTATCACTCACAAGAGCTTTCAAATCCCTCTCTGAGGTCACATCTCCGTCTGATGAGAAGGACACAGTGATATTTTGAGGCAATGTGATTTATGGCCCAAAGTGATCTGTGATTAAAAGTTTCAATATTAATTTATGTTATGATTATTGATCTCCTGTCGAAAGCAGTTTTGACAAATGGCAAAATATCTAAATAAGTGCAGTGATTCCCAGGCACCTAAAGGAAGCCATGCTGACCAGAGCGTTCAGATGTCTTGGACTGACAGTGCAAATGGCAGAAGCAGGAGACAACGGTGAACGCTGGGTGAGACCCGTCAGAGAGATGGATCTGAACAAAAATGTGTTCTGGAATTTGTTAATTTGAACCATAGTAGATGAGCAATAGACCACAGATGCCCTTAAGGCCCATGTTATGGCCCAAGAAGAACAGAAGGAGAAGTACATCCAACTTGACATAAAGCAAGGAGAGATGAATCATGGTGAAAGGCCAGAGTCTGCAAGTCAGGTGCAGGACCTGCTGTGTGACTAGTAGGAGTTCCAGAAGAACAAGAGGCTTCAACTGCTCACCTCAACTGAGATGAGTCCTCCTTGACACTGGCAAAGGCAGAGTGGTGCTGAGGGTTCGGTAGGCCCTCAGGAGGTGCGTCCCAGCTGCAGGAGGGGCCTGGGCACTGATCTGGAGCAGCCTGGAGGTGGAACCCTCTCGATCCCCCTCCATCCTGCGGTTGGTCCCAGCAGTGGTCAACAGAGGTGCCTGTTGCTGGGCAGAGCAGCCCTTGGGAGTTGACCTCACTCATGAGGAGCAGGGAGGAGGGTAGACCCTGGCAGCTAGCCTCCACCTGGCTGCACCCTAGAAGCACTGGGCAGCTGTTAGAATTAGGAAATGCCACATCCAAGGTCAATTAGGAGAAAACCTCCCATAGGGAGCTCCCAAGTGAATCTAGTACTTTGCCGATGTCAAGACTACCTCTATAAATGAAAAGAAATAATAGAAAAACACAAGAATTTTGGAAGGGGATCTGTGAGATGAGGATACTCACACTGAGGATGTCGTTTTTTGGACTGCAGAAAAGCAGAAACGAAAGGGGATGTAGGTGCCCTGGAGGGCTCATCTCAATTGGGGTGGGCAGGTGAAGCCTCTCGGTGGGGACCATATTTGATTGGGATGCAGGATTAGTTTAATGATGACCATTTTGAACAGGAGGTGAACACTGGGATAGAAAAGCCTTCCAGAACATTTATGTTCACAAGGCCGGGGCAGAGCTGGGAAAACACTTAAGCCAGTAGAAATGAGGAAAGGGAACACTAAGGGAAGACGGCCGGGCTGCTGTGGATCAACGCAGCAGAGGAACTGGGCCAACTCTATCAGTTGTTCTAATACATCTGAAAAGGCTAAAATTTCCTAGGCGGGGAAAGACAGTTTGGAGTTTTACACTGTTGTTCTACAATTGACGAGAGGGTGTTAAGATCCCTGACTCTGATTGTGCATTTTTTGTTTCTCCCCTTAATCCTGTCAATTTATGCTTCATGTATTTTAAAGCATATTAATATTTATGGTTTTTATGGCTTCCTGACGGACTGGCTCTTTTATGTTTGCTGTATGCCTCTTTGTCTCTGTAGTATTGTCTATATCTGGATTGTGCATAAGTAAAGCTATTCCAGATTTCTTAGGTTTACTGTCTGCATGGCATATTTTTTCTATCTATATACTTTTTTAAAAATTTCTTTTTTAGTTGTAGGTAGACACACATTTTTTTTTTATTTATTTATTTTTATGTGGTGCTGAGGATCAAACCCAGAGCCTCACACATGCCAGGCAAGCGCTCTGCCACTGAGCCACAATCCCAGCCCCACCATCTGTATACTTTCAACCTACCTGTGTCTTTGTTTTCATAGCGTGTCTTCTGGAGACAACAGAGGTTAGGTTTTGTGCACTTTTATTCATTTTGACAATTGGCATATTTGGTTCCTGAGCACTTCAATAATCATTGACATAGTTGTGTTTGATTGTTTATTTATTTATTTTTTGCAGTACTGGGACTAAACCCATGGGTGCTCTACCACTGAGCTACATCCCATCTGTTTTATTTTGAGAAAGGGTCTTGCAAAGTTGCTGAAGCTGGCCTTGAACTTGCTATCCTCCTGCTTCAGCCTCCCGAGTCACTGGGATGATAGGCTTGCCCCACCACCCCTGATGTTGTGACTGTGTTTAGATTTGCCACTTAATTTTAGTTTCCTGTTTGTGCCTTGTTATATTACTCCATTTTACTTTTTTTGTGTTATTTCTTTTGGGTTATTTGGCTGTATTTCAGAGTTCCCATTTAATTTGTGCATTGTCTTCTAGCTATACTGCTTGGCACACTTGTGGTGGTTCTTCTGGTGTTATATCGTAAATTCGTGCTGTCTCACAGCCTAGTTAGGTTAATATTATGACACTTCAGATAGCAGGAAGAAGCACGGCCACGTGATGCCCACTTACTGCTCCCCATCTTACTGTGTGGCCCATTGACGCCTCCCTTCCCCTCTGTTAAGTGGTATTGTGTTTTTGCATCAAGCAGTCCTGTGTATTTTAAAGGAAGCAGGAGGAAAGAGAAGCGTTTCTATTTCCCAGGTGCTTTCCATTGCTGATGCTGAGACAGGGAAGTTTCCTTTCATCCTGATGGTGTCCTTGAGCCTCATGGCCCTACTTGTGGAGCAGGCTGCCGCCCGAGCTTGTGGCTTTCTTTACCTGGATTGTCTTGGTTTTGCTCTCATTCTCGAGGGGCTTTTTCACAGGACACAGAATTCTTAGTCAACAGTTACTTATTTTCCTGACAGCACCTTACAAATGTTTTTTCCCTTCTGCCTTCCTGTCTGCATAGTTTCTGGTGAGCCATGATGACTGGAAGTCCTGTTCCCTGGCCGTCATTTGTGGTTTTCTCTTGCTCTCTCAAGACTTTCCATTTATCCTGCATTTGCAGCCATGTGGTTATGATATTCTAAACCTGGTTTCTTTGTACTTATTTCTTTTTCTTTTTTTTTGTGTGTGTTTAGTTGTAGGTGGACACAATACGTTTATTTTATTTTTATGGGGTACTGAGGATTGAACCCAGTGCGCCATGCATGCCAGGCAAGCACTCTACCACGAGCCTCAGCCCAGCCCCAGCCCTGTATTTATTCTTATTGATTCTGTGAATGTATATCTTTCACCAAATTTAGGAAATTTTCATCTAAAAATACTGCTATTAGTGCCTTATAGTTCCCCATAACAGTGGGGCTCATTTTGACACAGCCACACAGGCACGGAAGGCAGTTTACTCCAGCTCAGTCCCCGGGGCCTTCTCTTTCCCTTCCCTCTTCCCTCCCACTGATTCCCTTCCTCTATTCTCCTGCTGTTCCTTTGTTTATTTGTTTATTTAAATTGGTACCTTATGGATATACACACAGGTGGAATTCACTGTGGCGTATTCATATATGCTTGCAGCATGATTTTATCAATTTCATTCTGCAGTTCCTCCCTTTCCCTGAACACTGGTTATCTTAGGAGGGTGGGAATGGCAGGTATGTGTGTGGCTTGTTGTTCTATGAGCTCCAAGGGTGTTTGTAATAAAAATAACCTGATATTTCAAAAGGCTGGGAACCACTTCATAATACAGCATCAAGTAGGAGGTGTAGACCTAGGCCTGTCCCTAACTTGTGATATGACATTTTCTGCCTTTATTTTCGTGTCTCTGAAGCAGGTGTGGTAATGACCATCCTACCTCCTCAGGCCATAGTGTCATTGCTGTGAATAAAATGAAGGATGCAGATAAATATAACTTAAAGAGTTAAAAGACATTGAAATGAAAGTTATAGTCTTCAAGAAAATTCTGAAATGTTCTCAATTTGTATGATGCAGGTGGCAAAATCACCGGAGGAAGCATCTTCCCTTCCCAATGGCGATGTAGTGGGAGAGGCAGAGAGCACAGCAGAGGTAAGGGCTGTGGGCTGTTACATGGAACCGTCTTCTCCCATACCAGTGTCTTCAGAATGGCTGCTTGGTCTTAATGTTTCTCTGTGTCTGTCTACCTATCATCTATCCATCCATCATATCTGTACATCCATCCATCCATCCATCATATCAATCTATCCATCATCCACCCATCTATTCATCCATCCATCTATTCATCCATCCAACCATCCATCCATCATATATATCATCCACCTGTCCATCCATCCATCCATCCATCCATCTTCCATCTTGTCCGCCTGTCCACCTGATTATATCAATC